GTATTTCTTCATTAATAAAGGCTTGTTCAGTAATAGGTACTGTGTAAGGTTGAGAACTTATAGGAGATACATCTTCAGTATATATCTTGTGAGTTACTAGGTTAGTTCTTCCTAGTTGAGTAATATCTTTTGCAAAAAGGTTTGCAAATTCCCAGAGTAGTCATTTGAATTTTGTTTCTTTTGGAGCTATTTCTTAAGAGAGCATATATATTTCTTTCTTTTGTAAATTATTATTTAAAGCTAATTCTAAGACTTCAAGTTCTGAGGAAAGTTTATCTGAGTCACTAAGTAGTTTTTCATCTTACTTGGAATTGGTTAAAAATTTAAGGAAGAGGTCGAAGTAGTAAGCTATTCACTATTTACTTGTAAAAATTGTTCCTAATATAAATATTCTATCTGTTAGTGGAATCTTTCAAAACTATTAACCTTGTTTTGAAGATTTTCAATAGTCTGAGCCTGTTGTTCAAAGGTTTTGGCTTAGGCTTAGAGAAGAGTAATAATCTGAGCCTGTTGTTCAACTTATTATTGTAGTAATTCAATAAGTTTACTTTGGTCGAGATCAGATTGAACTTGGGGTTGGAGAAATAATTCAGATTGAGTAGGAAGGTTTTCTGGTTGTAGTTCTGGTTGAGGTTAGGGTTTAATTCTTTATGACACTTTTGGCAATATTCCTCATATTGTTTGAGCTCTGCTTTCTGCTTAGGCATAAAGCAACTCTTACAAAGAGCTACTCTATTATTAAAATTCTTTTGGAGGTTTTCTATTGCCTTATAGTGATCGAACTCAGAGTGTGACTGATTAAAGGATTCTTGAAAGATTCAATCTAGAATTTCTTGTTCTGTTTCTGAGAGAGTTATATAAGATGCTCTCATAATAATACTAATTTCATCATCTGAGTAGTTCTAATTAGATTAGTCGTTCTGTTATAAAATGAGTTTCAATTATTTTATCTCATTATTTTTATTTTATTATTTTTATTATTAGTATTTTTATAAATAGTTAGTTTCACAGGTCAAAATCAAATATATCAGACAAGCTATCTGCTATCCGATATTCATATAATACAAAATAATAATTTAACAAAATATCAGCATAAAAGATAGTTCGTTGATATCTTGCTAATATTCGACTGATAGATTTTGGTTAAATATCGGACAAGATATTTGCTGTTCGATAGTCCTATAATATACAATAATAATTTAACAAAATATCATCACGATTTTAGTTAAATATCGGACAAGATATCTGCTATCTGATAGTTCTATAATACACAACAACAATTTAACAAAATATCATAATGATTTTGGTTAAATATTAGACAAGATATCTGCTGTTCAGGTCTGGCAATCTTAGTGTAGTGGTTAGGTTGCCAGACCGCTATGCAAGAGGTCTGGGGTTCAAATCCTACTGTCGACGAATTTGAATAATTACCCGGACCTTTGTATCCAACTTACGGTAAACCCTGTTCGTTTCTAGGGTTGTAACCCTGTAAATCATATTGCACCAATATTATCTGGATATTAGAAGTGTGACAGGGCATTTGGCGAGACGTAATATTACACGAATAAATTTTTATAGGATCTATGGGCAGGAAACCTGCATGGTAGAAATCTCGAGTAGGTGAAGTAGTACAGCTTTTGATGGTCATACCGGTCAATACTTGATCCAGAAAGGGGATCAGCTAAAGCGGAGCCAATTTTGACTCCCGCAAATATCACATTAAAATTGTCACATCACACTAATAATAGAAGTTCATTTATTAGCTAAAAAATAATTAATAATTTATATTAGCAAACTGCATATCATTAACTCTCTCTATAATGAACATAGCCTTATAACGAACTGTAAAATTCAAAATTTTATATTAGTTCATTATAGAAAATATAGTAGGCTCTTAAAAAAATATAGTAATTTATATAATAAACTTTTTTTCTTCTAAAATCATTAGTTCGTTATAGAAAGAGTCAACTATAATATACTATACAGTACTAAGTTAAATCGATAAAAAAATTTTTTTTGTAATGAAATAAGATCTAATACAAATCAAATCTGATGAATAGATATATTAAGGTAAGCTTTTACTATTTATTTAATACTTTAGTGAGATAAAAAATATTTAGTGGGATTCAAGATTATTAATTTTATTTTCTTTACTAAGATTAGTTCGAGAGTATAAAAACTGTTATATTATTTAAATTTACCTCTATATAATATCTCATTATATTCATGATAATTTGGTAAGTTAAAATTTTTAGCTGTCGATGTACTTAAAATAAATCGTTTGTGAATACTTGCTTTACATAATACTTATTTATTTAAATACGAATTCTTGTTTTAGATAAAATTTCTCTGCAAAGCTATTATCTTATTTTAAATCTATCAGGATATTTAACTTTTAAGATATGTAACTTTTAGAATTTTGTATGTTAGGTTTAGAATTGTGTTATACAAAACGAAATTAAATATATGTACAAAGCAGAATTTAATAAATAAATTATTAAAATTAAAGAATATAGGCGAAGTAAGAATTAGTAGATATAGCATGAGGACATAAGCTATTTATTTATTAATTACTCTATAACTTTATATTATAAATTATGAAATTTTGATTAAATTTTATCGGTTGTTATATCTGAAACCTCTGATTTAAAAAAATTGCTAGCAAAAAAGTAGCAAAAAAGCAGGTTATATCACTCAGAAAATTTGTGTACTAGTCAGCATAGCCATCGATTTATACTATGAATTTTACACCCTTTAACCACAATTTACCTCTTAATAATTAAATATTTTAATAATCCATAATTGAATTGAATAAATATAATGCAAAAAAATAAAAATATTTATTAAATCCTTAAGCTCAGAAGTTAATGATTTTAAATTTTTGATTCTTTTAAACTTAATTTGTCTTAAAATCTATATACTGTAAATTATAAATTGAATACACCAATTAATCAATAAAAGATCTTTATACTTACTGACTAAAATAATGCAATTTAATTAAGAGGTATAATAAATGGTATATAATTAATATCTTAAATATACTGACTAATTAAGCGAATAAGATAAATTAAATAAAGAGTTATAGTAAATACAACGAGTTTGAATTTTATTTTAAACACACTGACTTATAAGAGATATTTATACTTACAATAAATTAACACGAATAAATGAAAGACATAGTAAGTGTTATGAGCTTGAATATCTTAAATCAATTAATAAGGATGTTTATGATCTTTATTTTACCGACTAAATTAATGCAATAAGATAAAATTATATAAGAATAATAACTGATACAAGATTTAATATCACTTACAGCTGTTTTTATTATTTTTGGAACATCTGGTAAAAAAAAAATTGACCGAATGATTATTTGTTGATTCGATAAGTTTTTGATTTCAGCGATGATAAACTTTGATTTGAATATAACTATAATTATATGTATTGATATTTTTTTGCAATTGTATTTTGAACGTTACTAAAATGTCAACATATCAACGCATCCAAAATTAAGCTTTCACTGAAACGCATGTTTAGTCTGTACAAAAATTAATGGTGAAAATTGTTCTTCCTAACCAACATGACAAAAAACATAAAAAAGGTATCGAATATAAGACAAGCTTACATTAATAAATAATGATTATTAAAAAATATAAGTCAAAAAGAAAACTAGCGAGAATTAGATAAGAGTATTGAAAAAATGTATTTGATGACTAAAGAACCTTCATCTGTCATCAGGTTTTCAATTATATTTTGTATCAGATACAATCTTTAACAAATTATACTGATTGTGACCGATATAAATATATTTGAAAGCCTGATAGCAAGTTCTTTCTTAATGACACTCAAATAATACTGTCAATGCTAATTATCGTTATTATCATTACTGCATTAGCAAAGATATATACATTATTACATAATCGATCATTACCGAAATCAAAAACTTATCGAATCGACAAATAATCATTTAGTCAATTTTTTTTACCAGATGTCCCAAAAATAATGAAAACAGCTGTAAATAAAAGATATTTATACTTACCGACTAAATTAATACGAATAGGATGAAATTAAATAAAAGCATAACAAATACCATGAGCTTGAACATCTTAAATACACAGATTAATAAAGATATTTATACTTACTGACTAAATTAATGCGAATAATATGAAATTAAACAAAAGGCGTAGTATATGGTATAAGCTCGAGTATTTACTTAACATATCAATTAATGAAACATCTTTATTTACCGGCTAAATTAAATAAAAGGGCATGGTAAATGCTATAAGCTTGAATATCTTATCTTAAAAATACTAAAGATATTTGTACTTACCGACTAAATTCATATGGATAAAATGAAAAAGAGCTTGAATATTTTAAATAACCAGTTTAATAAAAGATATTTATATACTTACTAACTAAATTAATACGAATAAGATAAAGTTAAATAAAATCATAGTAAATGCTATGAGCTTGATTAAATACACCGATTATTAAAAGATATTTATACTTGCTGACTAAATTAACACAAATAAAATAGAATTAAATAGAGGTAATGCGGTAAGCTTGAATATCTTGTCTTAAATACACTAACTAATAAAAGATTGGCATATTTACTAGCTAAAATAATACATGATGAAATTTAAAAAAGATAAAATATAGGTTTTTGTCTTGAAAATGGCCTTACGGATGTTTCATCAGGGCAAAGACCTATATAATGATAAATATTCACAAACTCAAATAGCTTATTCAAAAATATTCTTTATACTCACTGAATAAAATGTTACGAAAAAAACAAAATTAATATGAATAAAATATGTTAGTGAAATAGGTTGCAAGAGAGATATGCGTCAGAGAAATAATATGCAGCACAAAGCCTTTGATGCAGATTTTTAAAATCAAATTCGCATTATTCAAAAATTATCAATTTGTTTTATTTATAGAATAACTAAATGCCAGAGTTACATAGGAATATCAATTTAAATCACAATACGTATAAAAATTTTTTAATTAAGACCAAGAATTGGACTTAAAAAACCTTCTAACCTAGAAACAAAAGCCTCCGCCTCCTCAGCACCACTTCCTTCTTCTACACTCCAATATCTATCATGCAATCTTTCAGTTAGCTTATTTACAGTAAGTCGTCTATTTTCTGCTTTTTTTTCCTCTTCACTTTGTCCTAATTTTTCCATAATTACTAATTCATAATGTTCATATACTTCAAAACCACTTTCCTCAAATATTTCCTGAAACATTCTCCAGGCTTTGGTAGTTAATAATCGGTTAGAACCATAGGTATGCTCATGAAATATATGTTTACATGGTAACAGATATTGATTATGGAACAAGCAGTAGCAATCTAGCGAAGTAAGCCCTGGTGCACCTTTACCCTTCGCTAACCTATCCATTACTGCACAGGCTTCTTTTACAAGTATTAATTGCATAGGATAAAGAAACTTATAAATTTCTTTAATGATTTCATCTTCAATACCATAAACTGATACTTTTTTCGTACGGAAATTAAAAGGCACAGCTTTAGCATCGATTTGTTTTTTTTGATTAAGGTCAATAACTTTATGAGCTGCACTGATTAACCCATGTAAATGAGATGTAGTCCTTTTTAACTCACTGTGAAAAGACTCTAATGCATTAGTAGACGTAACTTGGAGTAGAAGTGGTGAATAATTTCGCGCCCAAAAAGCCCATTGGTGAGTATTTTTCATATAGTTTCGTTGAATATACTTGCTAACAGCAGGAATCAGGCAAGTGCTAATAGCTTCTTGAACAAGTTGCTCACATCCTATTTTCGTCTTCTTATGTATAGCCGCAATCATAATACTTCGAGTCTTATCTTCATAAATTTTCGAAACCCACGTACGCATCAAATGAACAGAATAAAATAAAATTTTGCATTCTTGTTCACTAGCATTAATACCAGGAAAAGCTTGCATTATACTATTAGCTTCAGTGCTACTTTGGTCAATTAGAATATAGTGTGGAACCCAGCGACATTTCTCTCGAATTAATTTTAATGCTTTTGCAATAGTCGCACTATCTTCAATACATACAAAAAAATGTAAACCACTTTCCTAACATCCGTGATTATCACATACATATAATGTGAAAAGCTTCCATTCATGTTTATTCGTTTTGTGAGTTGAGTCCATCAATGTGAGCTAACCGTGGCGTTGAAGTTTTTCTAATTGCCTAAGATGCATGAAAACTATACCTTCCGTACGTTTTACTTTCTCTCTTTCAGATGTTGAGAAACGTGATAATGTTCGGCATAATACTTTTGGTTTTTCAAATATAACAAAGTCTCAGATATGTCTATTCCTAACTTTACATTGCCTACTAAATGTGCATTTACAGGTCCCTGAAGCTTATACCTAATATTCGCAACCTCCTTCCGTCTTAGATATTTAATACTATCATCTAATCCAAATTCATTTTTTGCATATTCTTTAATCGCGCTAGTAATTTCTACAGGTTTGTAATTCATGATAGCTTCATTTGTAACCAAAGCTCGAATAGCATCTGAACGTTTTAGCATATCACTATCTTCTAACATATGCGTATGATCTGGTGAATTATTGAGCCGTTCAATCTGAACCATATTAGAAAAAACAGACCAGGTTATTTTAATTTTCACTTCGCAAAGACCAGTTGGTCGAATATTTGTTTTTCTTTGTTTATCATTTGGAATATCTTCTTGCCGTGTACTTGAATTTTGATGCTTCTTAAAACGACAAACATAACTCTTTTAAAAATCACTATTTTGAAGTTTATTTGAGCTGAAATAAGTCCATATATTCGTGACTAAAGGCCACAAGTCATTATTAAAGTCTTCTTCTGTTACTTCAAAAGGATCTCCTACATTAAAAAAAAGAGAACGTATTTCGGTACTAGTTGTGCTACTACTAGCATCTGAAGTACTTGTTGAAGAGGTAGTAATTTCATTCTCTTTGTTCATAGCCAAAAATTGTATAACTCGCAAAAAAATAGTAACAAACTCAAAAAAAAACTAGCTGTCCAAAAAAACTATCAAAAAAAAAAAACTATTTAAAAAAAAAAGCTATTCAAATATCTTTTTTTCATTACTTGCTTTTGTAGCCTCTTTTTTCTTGCTTTCTTATTCTTTTTTTATGAAAACAGATTCTTCTAAATATTTTTGTCTGATTTTACATTATTTATAATCAAAAAAAAAAAAAAAGAACGCTAACGTTAAATCGGTACAATATCTAGCATAGTTAAAAATCCGTTCATTGGTCGATCAAATTTAGGATGCATGTGATTTTCAGATCATATTGACCAGGATTAATGTTAAAGCTGTTTAAAATTTGTAAAATAATGTAGTTATGTATTAATTCTACATTTTGAACATTATCATCACCTTTATATGCATTTTTTTTTTCTATTCGAACTAGTAGTGTTTGAGTTGGTCTTCTTCATTCGTTAATTTATCTTCATTCGAATGTTAAGTTCAAATAGTTCGCCTCATTAATGTTTTCATTATTATTTAATTTACATCATCAAGCAGTTCATCACCGTAATCATCATCTAAGAATTCTCTGAAACCCATCCCTTCTTCCTTATCTAATTAAGGGTGTTCTCAAGCAACTCCCTCAATATGATTGGATAGTGATCGAGATCGTGTACAAATAATTCTTATAGCAATTTAATTTTGCTGAAGATTCATAGTGCGAAATGTGGATATTAAGAGAGTTCTCAAGCAGCTCCCTCAATGTGATTTGAAAAGTGATCGAGATGTTCCTCAACCTTTGTCATTAATTGAAGTGGTTATTATGATTAAATAATAACAATATACTAAAAATTCATGTACGAATTGCGGATTTTAAATTTTAGCAAATCAGAGTAAACTCTAAAAAAAAAAGATGGTCTGTACCTCCGTAATTTATTCATCGAAATGATAACTCTTTATTCAAATTCCGTTAATTAAAATTTTACATTAGATCTATTGAGCGACGAATATCTTTTTTTTTCATTGCGATATGATCAGCCAATCTATTGATTTAGGTGTTGAACATTCTAAATTAATGCTTTCTCCTCTTCAACTACTATTATGATCAAATATAACTAAATCATTCACTTTCTTCAATTGATTATTAGCACATTCCGATTAATAAAATTCATTTTTTTTTGTACTGTACTTCTTTTTTTTTTTTTTTTTTTTTTTTTTTTTCTCGATTATACGATATAATAGTTATTATAAAGGAGCTGACATAGCTGATCGTTAATCTAAAGCTAACCAGTAATTGCTAAATTTTTTTTACTCTAGCAAGCATACTCCTGGTTAGTTTTCTAAACTTTTCTTTGAAGCCTTTCTAACTACATATTGCACAAGGACTCTCCTTTTGACATCGTTTTCCTTTTGCATCGTTACTAAGGATGCTCTAACTAAAATGGGATCAGTGAAAACTATTATGGGATCAGCGAAGCAGGCATTATAACGAACCTTTAACTAAAATTTTGGTTTGCTTTATTATATAGTGTTGCGTAACTTTAATATGACTTTAGATATATGTAATTGTTCTGATTGGTCCATTATAATAATATAATTTATATAGAACCAACTGTAGTTTTTAAAGTATATTTATATTATACTTTAAAAACTACAATCGATAAATGAACTTCTATTATTAGTGTGATGTGACAATTTTGAATGTGATATTTGCGGGAGTCAAAATTGGCTCCGCTTTAGCTGACCCCCCAGAAAGGAAACTATGATCAAAAGATGCAGATCGAGTCAGGTGCGCATAAATCCATTATACAGGAAGGATCGGTAACACCAACCTGGCTTAGCAGCTAACTGGATTGGGAGGATCTGCCTCATGAAACATCCAAGAAAATAGAATACAAAAAACTGGTGGAGAGCCACAGTAGGAACTGGAGTTGTACGAACATCTACAAGGGTCTAATCTAGGTGATCTCGTAAAATGAGTACAGGCTGCTCTAGTAGGTTTGCTTCGAGGTTAACTGGCTCTGCAATACTAGCAATACGTCTGGTATAGTGTATTCCAAGAGGACCTAAGCTGATTTAGGTAAATGGATCCGTAACGAGCTAGCTGGCTTAAGTGGTTAGGTGTTGCAGTGACATTAGATTTGGATCTGTATGGGTTAATGAACAGAGTGTTTAAATAGGTAACTTACAGGCGGGTTATAGGTATGGCAGCATAGTGTAGAACCAATCGGGTGGTCTAATCGCCTATGCAGCAGACTACTTAAATTAGACAATGACTAAAGTTGTACGTGTGGCTTGTTGTACACTCTTTATGTAATTACAAACAGTAGGGATTATCAATATATAATTCTGTATGCAAATACTAATAAAATCCCATCGGCAATGTAAGCCGCCTTAAACAATAAAAAAAAAAAGAAATTGAAAAGATACAATTATCTTTCTATTAGTTAGGGATTTGTTGTTATATTAAATACTGATTTAGAAGTTCAGTAATAAGTTGTAAAAATAGAATATCTACGTGTTTAAATATTTTATAGCTAATTCCAGATGATTCACAGGCTTTGCTATTTGGAAGCTGAGAAATTATTTGTTAAACTTCATTAATCAGTATTGGTTGAAGAATATCTGAATACTAGTTTGTTTGAATATTAGTTTTTGGAGTGTATTTTGTAGTCTAGTTAGTATTAAAAATATTAAAATTAATTGGTCAAAGAGCTATCTAATTATAAAAATAGGTTTGGATTATTTGTTTAATAGACTCTAGCTCTGTAATAAGGTTACTATTAGTTTTGATATTATTAAATCTAACAAGATCTTTGTATCTATTAAATATGCTATTAATCATTTTAGTTAGATTTGTTTGAATATTTTTATAACATTTGTTCAGTGCTTTATGAATTTGCTCATAAGTTGCTTTGTTGTTTACAAAATTATGAGCATGAAATAGAGTTTTTCAGTACTGTTTAGTAATATTAACCTAGTTGGCAAGTTGATTTGCAAATAAAAAAAGTAGTAGAATATCAAACTCATGTTTAGAATTGAGTTGTTAGATTGTTGTAGTTATATGTTGTAGCATAGGTAAGTTGTTGCTAATAACTTTTTTAATAGTTTGGATTATATTTCCTAAAGCTTTAAGATCTTGGTATAAGTCAGTAGCTTTGAAGGTATGTTGGTGTTGGAAGTTAGAAGCTTTGAATTTTTAGTTTGAAATATTTGCAAGAGCAGCTTTAGAAATGCTAGTTTGTATTTTATACTAGCTCTTTTCTAATAATTCTGTTTAAATTGAATCTAGTTTGACAACTTTTATACATTTTTCCCATCTCTATATATAACAAAGCTTCTTTTTTATATATATATATATATAAAATAGAAGGAGTGAATCATTTACAAACTTTGCCATATAAACCGAAAAATTACCATGTTTAAAATATTCCTTTAAAAAAAATACATAAGTTATCGTTATAGTTTAATTTTTTTCAATTAGAATTTTACAATAAATTTCCATGTTCACAAAGTCATAAGAATAATTTGATACTTCATGGCTATAGATAACTCTCCTGATGATTTTACGATTTGATGAAACCATAAAAATTTCGTGACCATCATGAAATCCTCACATTAATCATTATGAAAAAATTTTAAGACATGTTATAGGGTCAAATCGTTGTCAACGTCTGAATCCTTTGAATAATTGTTACAAAAAACATCAAATACGATCTATGAGATAAAGAAATAGCTTTATACATTTTTGCTTCTTTAAACAATGTTAAAATGAATGATGTAACTATGCTATTTAGCTGGTATATTTTATGTACATGTTTGATATTTCATGAAATTAAAGGTAGAGAAAAGCAATAAAAAAATAATCGAATTATACAATTAAAACTAGAAGGAATTGTGGATAATATAGTCCGTAGATTCATTATTAATTCAATATAAAGGAGATATTGTTAACGTGAAAAAAATTTATTTTGGGATAACTAAAGTGATATGTTTACCTCATACAAAAGTCTCGCGGACCTTAACATTTAGTTAAAATTTAATAAAGTTTGAGATAAAAAAAATCTATGATGATGATAGAAATAAAGAAATACTTTTAATTTTGGCAATGTAAAACGTGAATAACAATAATTAAAGAGAAATACAAATACCTGATAGTAAATATTATTATAAAATATAAAAGATTAAATTGACTAAAATTAATGCTGCAATATATCTCCTAGATTAAAAAAATTTATATAATCTTATTACGCTTTTTATTTGCCCATAGTTCCAATTCAGAATTAGCATCTATTGGATGATTATTTTCAATATTAATTGTTTTCAAATTTGTCCAACTATTTGACAAGAACAACATTAATGAATCCAAATTTAATCCAAAACATTTAATAATTTCTAATTTTCTTAAATTTATACATTTAGATAAAATTGTCCAAGATTCATTTTCGTTAAGTTTTGTTTCAATTAATGAAATATTTTGAAGATTATTAACATTTGATGATAAAGATTTGATAAAATCAGATGTGTATCGAATTGAATTTGAAAGTGTGAATGTGATTAAATTAGTTTGTTCATTTATTAATATACTAATATTACGAGCCATTTCATTCTCCAAATCATTTGGAAATCCCATAAGTCCCAATTGTTGAGTACGTAAATATAAATTTTTCTAAAAGATTTATTCAAGATCAATTCAAAAAATATAATTATTAAAAAAATAAAAATAATATATTTATGGATATTACTTACAACATTAACTATCCGTGACAATTTAGAGAAAAATCTTGAGGATGGATACTTAGAATGTGTTTCGATATGTAAATTTTTTAACTCTGATAATAAACCAATAAATTCGGGTTCAACCAATTCCATATATCTATTTGAACTATAGTGATTCCAATGAATGTGATTTGGCCAAACGAAAAGACTTGTTAATTTAACATTATTATCTACAAATAAAGTTAACAAAGAATTTGTGATGAGAGAAATAGCATTTCCTGATGATTGATTTGAATATGTACACCATCCTTCGATAGAAGATAACATATAATCATAATGTAAATGTTTAAGAAATGAAGGATAATTGAAAAGTGATTGATATTGCGATTTGTGGACATAAAAATTTCGATGTTTTAATGATCTTAATGATGAGAATATGATTCCATCAGATTGAAGGCCTCTACGTTTATTATCATTTAGAAAAATCAAAAAGGTTGAAATAAGTTTTGGGTTCCCTTTTCTCACATATAAAAATGGTTGACGCCAAAGTCTTGGAATGACAAGCCTGCACCACTGTCTATTTACCAAAAGGCAATTAAATAACGCAAAACTTTCGTTGTTTAAATAATCAGTTTTATCGGTTAATTCGTTTTGAATAAAGTAAAGAATTTCTTCAATTATGTCCGATGGGATGTAAATAGAACCTTTCATATGTTTAGTGCTAATGTTTTCCATCATTTATTTTGTGGGCGACACCAGGAAATATAAGATTATATAATAACATATGGTTAATGTGGTATGACGCCTCGATGGTTCGATCGAAATTTTGGCGTTAAAGAGAAGGAAAAAAAATATATTCATGTGAACTTTTACAAACCAAATATGTCCATAAATATAAACAAATAATAACTTTATGCATAAGGCAAGATAAAAGGATTCCAAAATAAGAAATTTAGTTCACCCGACAATTTTTAAAGTTGGGATTAACGTCATATACACGATCCGGCCAGGGTAGCCCCTTAAGTATCAGTATTTGAGTACAAGGGAACATTTTTGACGTAATTTGTAACTTTGTTAAATGTAACACCACATCTTTAAAATTTTCTCTATTGTACGTACATACCAATAAATTTAAAGCTCGAACCAGGTTACACGTGTACCAATTCCAGGATCAATTTGAATAGAAGGTATCGAAATTAATAGTTTACGATATTTTTGTTTGTTATTGTTTCAGTGTAAACATTTATTTACCTTTACGTGTAACGTGACCAAGTTGTCAAATATGACTATTTTATTTTTTTTTGGATTTTCACTATTCTGGTTTTTCTAATTTTATACTGACTTTGAATTTTTACTATTCTGACTTTGATTTTACTATTTGACTTTACTAAGCTGATTTGCTGCGTTATCTGTTATAATAATTTGGGTAGAAAGACATAACATACTATTTTATATTTATCATGTAATACAAGTGATATGAAGTAATTAAATTATTCGCATTAATTTTTAGTCACTATGATTTTTATTTATATAAACTAGATTATTTTTTTTGTCGAATAAATCCTTACGTATAAAACAAATAAATATTTCACTAAAAATACATATATATATTTATGTATAATTAATACAGTATACGTACTACTACGAATAAATGTTCCCAAATCTATTGATTATTTGATTGATACAAAAAAAAAAAAAAAAAAAAAAATACATCAGGTTTCCATCATAACCAAAATTTTACCAACTATAAGTGCAAAGCCAAAAAAAAAAAAAAAAAAAAATGATATGTAAAAATATACAAACTATCTTTCTTTTTGAATGTGTTAATCTAATTTTAAAAAAAATGTATAAAATGTAATGTATAATATAAATGTATATGTTTTGTGTAACAATATGTGATGCGTATAAAAAAACCCGACATGTCCAATTAGCTGCACATTAGTCTTTGCAACCATAAAATTGGTTAAACTTCAAAGATTCTATGCATTGACCACTCGTGTTTTGTTTTTGTTTTTGTTTTTTTTTTTTCATTTTTTTTTTTTTTGTAGTTTCTTTGTACGGTATATGCTCAAGCTCTAAATAAATCATACTATATGAATTCAAAAAAGTTACCAATAAATTGAGTCAAAATCATCCACCACAGTACATATGTTAGAATTACTAGTGGCACTAATTCCATTTACACTATTCACCCAACAATTAAATTCTTCACAACCAATACCATATTGTAATAATTTAACTTCTTCTAATTCAGAAAATATTCCTCCTAAAAGAGGCTTGATCATTTTAAGGGTAATTCCTTTACAAAACCAAAATTCTAAATTTTTTAATTTCAAACATGAAGCCAAACTTTCCCATGGTCCACAATCTTTAAAATCAACTAGTCGAAATCTCATTGATCTTAATGAAATTGACTGAGTGTCTAATGCTGATATCATGTAACCAAGGTAAGCTTTACAATTTATCATGTCAAAAGTTTTTAAATTTTTTTGTGCTTTAATTAATCTTCGTAATGAGACCGCTGCTGAATCATGTGCGGATGGTGAGTCGTACGTGGATGTAAAGACATCTGTTTTATATCGTTGATGACCATACCAACCACGAAGATATAAATGTTCCTATAATACAATTTTATTTATATTATTAAAAAAATTTTTAGGATATTCTAATATCAGTATAAAAAGCAAATAATTAATTTGTTTTTTTTTTAAAAAAAATATATATATTTATTTTGGATGCTTACCACATTCTGGCATAAATCTGGTAGTCTAAGTAACAAACCTTGCTGATTATAATCAAAACCATCAAGTGAAAGTGTTCTCACCGAAGTACTTAAACCTCTAATTTCCGATTCAGTTAAT